TGCAATAAATATTAGATATAATCTACCTAAATTTATACATAATAAAGGCTTTAAAATCTTTCCTTTTTTACTAAGGATCTTTACTTTAGGCACATGTAGTCCTTGCCTTAATATCAATGAAGCAAAACTTTCCAAAATATCGTAGTGTCCATATTTTCGCGATACACTTCTCTTTTTTATTGTTCTTTATTCTCTCAGGGTAAGTTTGGCTTCATCTTTGCCAGGGCAATGTTTAGAGGCGTTTAGGAGTGCGTTTAGGTTGTTGTTGTTGGACTGTTGGCAGCAACGATGCAGCTTTTGTTTAAATTTCAATCAAAAACAAATTTTCAAAGCTGCTTACGAGCAGCGTTAGAGAAAAGCAACGAGGGGCGTGGGCAGAGAGTGGGGCACATGCAGAGACAGCTGTGGCATGTTGCATGCCTAAGGGGGTGGGAGGCGGGCGAACTCACGCTCTAAAGGCATCAAGTAGCAGAACGGACTGCAACAAGTTAGCAATACATGAGGGCGAACTTGGTTATGCCAAGAAAAAGAGGCAGAAAGAGCGAGCGTGAGGGGGCCAGAGAGAGCGAGAGCGATAGAGAGTGAGCAAATGCACAGCATAAAAGTGCCGCTGGTGAATCAACAACAAGACACGCCCACTGCAATTCACTTTCCCCCAGCAAAGTCAAAAAGCTTAGAGGCAGGGGCAGGCGTAGGGGCGCAACCAGTAGGGCTTACAAAAAGGAACCACTGTGTCTTATGTTTAACTATAATTTGCCGCTGGGGCATGCACACACACACACACACATATGCACACACATCCAAGCGAAAAGAGAAAATGCAACATGGTGCAAAAATATAATTAGAAATATGAAGCAAGGCAGCAGTCTTTTAGGGAAGAGCGGGGTTAGTCTGGGGTTACGGACGGGTCTTTAATAATGATTTGTTTTTAAGGTTCATTTGCCTCGGCTCGGGCGAAGCTGGGCTCAATTCTAGCTCTAGCTGTAGCTGTAGCTGAAGCATGAAGTGCAGTGTAAATGTCTTGACTTCTTGTGTTTGTTGAGCCCTTAAGCGTTTACCATGTGGCACGTAGGCAGGCGAGATTGGGGGCGGAGATGGGCGTGTTTTGGCCAGGCAGCTGCAACTCTGGAGAGGTGTGTCTGTGTGTGTGTATGTATGTATGTATGTGTGTGCGTCTAGTTAGGTTTTTGTGGTCGCCTTGTGCCTGAACCATAATGAAATGCTCGTCCAGAGTCTGTGTTGTTTATGCAAAAATTTTATATTTTTGAACCTAAATGTTACACCAGACACTCACGCACAGACACACATACACACACACACACACACGCACATACGCGCACAGGTGCACACACGACACAAAGGTACACAGTTACAAAGTGCTCTCTATTTTTAATTAATTAAGAGTTTCGCCCCAAGAGCAGGCAGCCAAATGTACAAAATTGAGGCTAAAACTACAGTGCAAATTGCCTAAGGGCAACCACACATGAACATATTTAAGGTGTTTATTAAAAAATAAATTAATAAATCTGAAATGAATGCGAAATGTAACAACTTAAATCAAGTCTTTTTTTTTGTCTTGAATATCAACTTTTCGTTTAAATATTGTCTACAGCGATATCTTTTTGATTAAATCTTTCACAGAGCAACTGAGGAGCTATTTAAAATAAACTTTGAGTTATTTCACTGTAAATCAAATTGGATTTCTCTTTCGCTGGGGTGGCGCACATTGAAGCCCTGTTCTCGCACAGCCCCTCAAACACATAATAACAGAGGCGCACGCAAAAATAAATTAGCTATAAAATCCGAGCAGTTAAAAGCCTACCTCAGGGCTCACTTTCCTAAAGCTACCCCCGCTCCGACACCCGCAGCGCACGCCGCCCGCAGAAAACTTTTACTAATTGCGTAATAATCTCATTACATTTAAAAATACATTTACAACAGCATTTATACCTGCCCCAAGGCCAGAAAACGTTACAGAAGAGCGGCAAGGGCAAATGCTGAAGGAAGGAGGGAATAAAAGAAACAGCAGCAACAACAAACAGAAAATCCCAATTGAAAGAAAGGAGACGGCAGTCAGTCAAGAAGAGCACAAAACTCAGGAACAAGACAGCCGCCCGGAAGCGTTGATAAATGATAGACCCCCGCCCAATCCACGTCTCTGCGTGGAAATAAATCTACACATAAAAAGAAGAAGAGGAGCGCACAAGAAGCTGCCGAGTCTTCACAGACTATGACAAAAAGGCACTAAAAACTGTCAAAATTGCGTCAGCTTATGAATACGAAATGCTCAGAGCCGGCAAATTAAAGCATGACAAAAGTTTTACAAAACCGAATCCTTGAACAAGGCTCCCACCCAACCAGAACCAGACAAACAACAAAACCCTCCCTCCTTTCGCTGCAGCAGCGGACCTGAAAGCGAAACGCATATCGCCAGATCCCGCTTTGGCTTTCATAATGAGTAAAATGTCACAAGTTGACGCAAGTAAATATTTAAATGTCAGATTTCTATATAAGAAAACAGAAGCCCCCTGCGCCCTCACCCCAAATAGACAACAACGAGCCGCAGTACAAAACCCCAGACAAGAGTAAAATATGTCTCATAATTTTGGTTGTTGTGCAAAATTCATTCTAAACAGAAGAATTTCCTGCTGACTGCTTGTCATTCCCCTCGATTTCCACTCTTTTCTTCTCCCTCTCTCTTTCACTCTCTCTCACCCACTCTCCCGCTCTGTCTTGCTCTTTGTTCAGTTGAGCCCAAAGATATGCGGGCCTCAAGCTGAAAGCACATTTAAAGCACTGCCTTTGCATGTGGGTGGGAGTGGAGAAGGAGAAAATAACTACCCCAACCTAACCGCACTTCCTTTGCACTTGTAAGGAATATCTTTCCCTCTCTTCCTCTCCCTCTCCCTCTCCCTCTCATGCATGCAAAATATGCTCGACCGCCGTTTGACATTTACAAATGACAAACATTTGACAAACAAAATGTCCTTTTGTCAGTGTGTCCTGCGCGTGTGACAGGAGCATTGTCGTAAGCGCTTAATGTGGGCGCTACAACCGCGCTGGAGGCGTGGCATATTTGATGTAGAGCCCGCAGCAGCAACTTGCAGCAAGTCTGTGCGTTATTACCTTAAAATGCGTCAAACAACAGCAGCTACAGAGAACAATTAAAATACAAGAAACTTGAGGAAATGACACAGAGTTAGGGGCGGATGAAGATAAAAGAGCGAGGCATCTATAAATACTGGGCAATTAAATGCGTTTAATGAATAAGGAGGAGGGGTTGAAAAACAAAAGGCTTGAGTACAAAGATTTGAAAACTTTTCGCGATAATCAAGAGAATTGCTTTTAATGGCATTTTAAATAGCAAAAACAAACATCAGCTGTAAAACGTTTACGTATGAGTAATAAACAGAAAGGCACGAAACCAATGTAAGCTCGCAAGAGCGTGAAAGAGAGAGAGAAAAAGAGAGACTGAAGCATCAGCTGTAAAACAATTACGAATGAAGCACAAAAGGGAAGGCACCAAATTGGCATGCGCTCGCGAAAGCGTAAAAGAGAGAGAGAGAGAGAGACGGTGTAGCATCAGCAAAAACGTTTACGTATGAGGCAGAAAGAGAAACTAAAAAAGGGAATGTGTACTCTTAAAAGTAAGATAGTGAACACGCTTGCAAGTTACAATAGAATATCCGTTGATTAGATACTCTCTTAATACATAAAGGTAATTAAATAAACAATATACAATAAATGTAAAATATAAATAAGTATATAGAAAACTGTGCAGTTACTCTTTCAAATAACTACAAATTGAAGCTTGGCATACCTTACATCAAAGAGTATTCTAAGAGCCATAAACTATCTATATGCCCACAATAGCTGTTATCGAATGCTCTGAATCTAGAGTAGTTACAGCTTGTTGTTGTGCCCGTTAAGCTTAATTTACTGTAGTTATTTCACGTAGCGCCACTTAGGGGCGGGGTTGAACATCAGCAAAATTTCTGACTGAACGTAATACACCTAGCGCCGGCGCGCTAACAAGCAGCGGGACATTACTTTTAATAAACTCTAGGCCAACAGATAGGCCGCCGCGTCCATGTGCGGCTATTGTCCTGTGCGCGTGGGTCCTGGGTGTGGCCAGCACGCACCTACGCAGTCAGCTTGAGGTCTGGGGTGGGGCGGGGTCTCTAGCTATATTTACAGACGGGCCCAAAAGTGCTTGCACTCTGCACAGTCTGTCGGCCTTTTTTCTGTTAGCCAGGAGCTTCGTGTAAATATTTGGCTTTAATAGAATTAAATGATGAAGAAGCGCATACTCAGAAAAAAAAGGAAAATTGTTTGCCACCCTCGCTAACAAGGGGCTGGAGCCAGGGTCAACACTTAAATTAATAAAGTAAATAATAAGCATTACGTGAGGAACAGGACACAGCTCGGCCAGGTGGACAGGGCAGGACAGGACAGGACACGGCCGCGTTGAAAGTGAATTAAACGTCACTTATGTGGCTTAAAAACTGCGCTCCGAAAATATGTTTTTTGGTTGTACTTCTTTTATGCTATGAATACAGCTTTTAAGTTCCCATTTTTTGCAGGACTTTTCGGTGCTACGCTTTGTTGATTAATTTATGGTCCTGGGCCGGGGAGTGGGGACTTGAGCTTACAATATTTTGTGGCTCTTAGCGTCAAGCGCATTGCAGCAGTTAGCGCCTAATCCAGCTCAATAGGGCTCAGCTGCCAAGGCAGCCGCCAGGACGAAGTCGACACACAGGACATACACAGGACACACCCAGGATATACGGCGACTGCCTGAGCTGAGCGCGTTTGCGGCTGGGCTTAAGGGCGCTGCGCAAAGCTCTTTGATTGAATTGGAGAATTGGAAATTGGGAACAGGCAATGAACATAATTATGCGGCTGCTGTCAAGTGGCCGGGCACTTTATTTAAATGCGATCCCGGGATTAGGATTAGCCGCCCAATGTCCTTTTGCGGCTCGAACTTAAAGGTAACTTACGCAATATTCGGGCCAAATGTAGGCGACGCCTTTCGCAGGACTTGAACTTACCTAAAAAGAAAAGAAGCAGAAAATACAAATTTAATTTAAATTAATTTCAACAACAATCGAGACAAGTGACAGGATAAGCCTGAGGGTCGGTGGAACAAGGCGTGGCAGATGATAGACGACATTGTCATTATGTCAAAATCTTCGGAATAAATTGCCTTTTCTTTTGCTCAATTTTAAAGGCCCTACTTAAAAATCCATTAAAAATTAGCATGAATCCATAAAAGGGACAGCAAATGAGTAAAAGATTTCGAAAGAGTTGCACAACGCAGTCGAGATGCCCTTTAGATGTAGATGGGATTGTGAACGAGAGCTTGAAAGCAATAAAAGAGTGGAGCATATAAAATCACTATTAATATAAACTAAAAGCTAATTAAAATATTTATAATAAAATTAATATAATTACTAGATTAATTAATTACGTGGGTAAATGCTTCTCAAGTCAAAGGTTTTATCCATACTTAAGTAATTGTAGATGTAATTAAATTTAATATTGCATAAGTAAATAAAAGTAATTAATTATTTTAAAATATTTAATGAATACAATTTAATTATTTACCTAAATATAGAATAACTTTGGTAATTAGACATAAAATGTCAATAATATACAGTTAATTATATAAATACAGAAGTAATATTTAAATATTTTTATACATTTTGTAAAGTATTTATAAAATAATTTAATTATGTATCTAAGTAATTAAAGAATCAATTACTTTAGTCAATTAACGATACATTATTTAACATAATTATAAGGTAATTAAATATTTAATGGTAAGATTCACTGAAGTATTTAAGTAATAAATTATAAAAAATGATTATTAGTTTTAGGTGGAATTCATTTTCAATGACTTAAGTAATTAAAAGCATTAAAAAACTAATGTAATTATAATTAAGTAATTGACATATGTAGTTACTTGAGTTTTATAAATTGTAGCAGAGTCTTGTTTAAAAATTAACCACACTATTTATAATAAGCCCCCGCTCTTACTTCGACATACTGTAAAAATTTGCCACAGGCTCATTTAAAGCGTAGACATAAATTCGGTTTTATTTTGTTTTCCTTTCATGAAATTGACAAGAAGCTGTCATTAATTTGCATCAAATCAATTTCTCTTCGACAGCTGCCCTGCCCGGCCCTGTTTTGTTGCCTTGGCCTAGGCGCAGGCGACATAAAAATGCAAATTTTGTTGCTGTTGGCTTTAAAAAAAAGGAAAAGGACAAGGACATGATCGAGGGCGAAGCAGCAAAAGGAACTCAACTGCCACAGCTTGACACGAGCAGAGACGCTTTTCGCATATGTGACATGGCAACAAAATTGCTAAAATATTATTACAAGTAATAGGCACAAGGAGAAACAACAATTTGTGGCAGGGGCAGACTTGAGGTGGGGGGACGACCGAAAAGGGTGTTGAAATTGATGCCAGTGGCAGGCAGACAGGCAGCTGGCTTGATGATGGGGATGATGGGGATGATGTGGATGAAGCCTGGCTATATCAATAGGCATATCAATACAGCCGACACACATACACACACACACACACACTTCTGAGCCCCTTACCCTTCTTAGCCCCTAGCCTGCGGTTAGACGTGCCCGAAATACATTAAAAGTTAGACAGCAAACAGGAACAGGGTCTGGGACAGGGGCAGGGGGTGCACACTTCGGGGCATTTTCTATACAAACAAATTGCTGCGTACGCGACTTGAAAGCCAAAAATTGATTGATGTTACTTTGCGTAGTCTGCTTTTAGGCCAAGTTAGTTAGAGAGCGGCAAAGAGGGGAGCAGGGAGAGGCTAAAGAAGAAAGCTGGCTCTAATGCGATTTTGAGTGCTCATTGTTGGCCATTAGTTGGAGTTGTAGAGAAAGCCAAGTTTCGCATGTGTTTCTCATCCTCTCTCTCTCTCGCTCTTTGTTATGGCCCAACGCCTTGAGAAATGCGCATTTAATTGAGTGTGCGGCGGGGCGGAGTAGGAGGTGGGGCTGGTAGGGTATAATTGAATAACTGTCAGCACTTTAATTAGAGCGTAAAAAATTGCAATTGCAATGACATATAATTGCAATTGCGCAGCAGCAGCTGCAGCGTCATTTGTTGGCAACGCATTTAGCTCGACCTTATTTGAGAGAGAAAGCGAGAGACACACCGAGAGCGGGAGATGGAGAAGAGAGGGGCCTGCTATATTGAGAAGACATGTATTTATGATATTTATTGAAATCCGCATCTGCATCTGTATCTGCATCTGCATCTGCTCGTTATGTGTAGCTGCTTTGGCCACAATTTCTATCCAATTAAAGCGCAACGAATTGTCTAACCTTTTGTGTAATAATTTCACATTTACAGCGACAGAGACAGAGACAGCGACAGCGACAGAGAGACAGAGAAATGGACAGGGAAAAAAACAAAAATTAAATCCAATTAAAACCAAATAAAACTTGCAAACAAACTTTTGTGTTTAATTTCAATTTACAGAAAATTTCAACAACTGTTTTAAATTTCAAATTGGGAGAAATCCATTTGTGCTTTTTTAATTCTGCAATTTGGAAAACAGGTAATGACAGCTCTTTAATTAGTGTGCAACGCTTTACTCAAATAGTTTCAAACTATTTAATTTGTAGCCAATTACCTTTCCAACCACCAAACGTAAATATATTAAATGTGGAATTTAAAGCAATGCAAATTGATTAAATTAGGAATCGAAATAGTTCTATGTAAACAGTGATAGAACATAATGTGACCATGGAGGACAAACATTTTAACGGCATGTATTTGACGTTAGATTAGTATGCAAGACAGATGAATGATGAATATGACTAATATTTAAGTTATAGCAATAACATTTTATGCTCTATGCAAATCAAACAGATTTTACAATGGCAACAGCGAGATAAACAATATATAATGCAGGTTTAAAGAAAAATGTGCCCATGGAGGAGAAATGGTAATAATATGTTCAATTACATAAAAAGCATAGTGATAAAGTTATCATAGAGGACAAGAAGTAAGTCAGGCAAAAGTAAACCAATGCAATTGGCAAATAGCATGATAAACTGTAAAATAAATGTTCTACTATAATCAAAAGTATGACCATTTAATGACTAAATACGATGAACGTATAAAGAAAATGTAATGAAGTGCTTTAACAATAGAGTATAGGTAGATGGTTGATAATATAAGGACAGAGAAAATAATATGAACATGAACACGAAATGAATAGACGAATAGAATTCGTATAGTTCCAGAAGTCTATAGAAAATGAATTAACAAGCAAATGCTCGAAATTTTCTGCAAAGACAGAGCCAAGAAAATTTGACCGTTAATTGCCATGTACAATAATATGATAGATAGCAAGACAAAACTCCAAGAGAATCCTTGCACAAATCATGCCGAAACATAAACTCGGCATGTTCAATGAAGTCACAAAATGCCGTCATTCTTAACGCCATTTCGGTAAATAAAAAAGAGAAAACACATGTAAGTATAAAGATATACATTTATGTTCATTTATATAGGTAATATGCGCAGCAATCATAAAAATCGTTTGGCAAAATCGCATTTGCCATGTTGCGCCCGCAAAGTATGCAACATTTATTTTTAATGCCAGTTAACAAAAAAAAACTCTCGGATAGGAAAAAACAAGAATTTTAGCCCGTTTTATGCATATTTGGCACATATAAATTTTTACGCGTTTAGAATATCAATTTTGTAGATGCGATTTGGCCATAAATGCGGCACGAAAAACAACTAAGGCATAAATTCATGGCATATTTGCGTCTCTCCCTCTGGCTCTTTCTCTATCTGTCTCTTTGTCTCTATTTTTTAGTTTGACTGCACTGTTTGCTGTGGCATTTAAAAATTCATTTCGTTGTTTGTTGATTTTCCTTGTTGCTTGTTGTTTTTGTTGCAGTTGCGTTTGTGACATGTTTTCCTGCGGTTTGCGAACGTTTTTTAACGCGCGCGCGCTCTATTTGGTTATTTGCTTTGTTTTTGTTGTTGTAAGTTGGACATGTTGCGGTTTTTGTTTGTTAAATTAAATTATGCGGTTTTGCACACACGCACACCTAGAGACTGCACATATATATTAAGCAAACAGCAAACTAATGAAAATTCAATTGCAAAACACAATTACATTGTTTACCCTGCTGGCCGCTAGATGTCGCAGCAATTGCCTGTTTCCGTTACTGAACACTACTATTTTTAATTTTTTGTTTTTCAACTTTTTGCCATTTTCCTCTAATTAAAATGAAATATAAAACAAGTTTCATTCTCATTCCCTTTGACAATTCGCATTTCGCGAAATTCGTTGGCCCGCGCGTTTATGTTCTTTGTTTTTGTGGCGCTTTTTATGGTCCTTTACAACACTAAGAACTAAAGCCCGGTACGACAATTTTTCACAATTTCTCCCTCTCGCTCTCTCTCGCGCTCATGGGCTTTGTGCTAGGCGTTGGGGCAAAAGTTTTTTGCATGGCACTTAAAAAATTTATAAAGTGCTTTGAGCAGACTGCCCCACAGCAGCGGCAGCTGCACCGCAGCCCCCTGCTCTTTGCTCTGGCAATGAAGTGCAAATTGCAGCATAAAGTGTTGGCCATGCTGCCTTGTTCACTGCCACGCCCAACCCGCCACGCCCACACGCTTCCGTTTCTCGACTTTTGCTGCTTTGTCACAAGAGCAAAAAAACATAAGAAAAAAATAAACTGAAAATCTCCAAAAGCGCCCATGAAACAAGTCACTGCCAGTAACAGTTACTAGAAAGAGCACCTCTCTCCCTCTTTCTCCTTCTCCTCGCTTTCTCTCTCTCTCTCTCTCTCTGAGTCGTCTCTCCCAATTTAACTCGCAGTTTTTTTTTGTGTTTTTGGCAAACTTTTTTGCCTGCCTGCGCCTCGCCTCTTGGCTAAGTTTCGCCGAGCCGCCCCTGCCACGCCTCTTCACCTACGTCGCGCACTTTTAATTGTTTCGAGTTTTTTGCATTTTCCTTTTTTCCTCGTTTTTTCTCGTTTTTCACTTATC